GTGCTTGTCTCTGGGTCGTTTTGAAGTAATTTAAAGTTTTTAAGAATGATGGATTTAACTGAGTGGTAGTGAGGATGAAACGTGAGAGTGAGTGGAATGCGGTCGGAATCTTTCTTTTGCGACGTTTGTAGTGCTGAATGTGCATTAATAAGTTGGGCGCGGTGGTAACCCGCTTGAATGATAGAATCAGGGTAACCATGCTTATCGAAAAACTGGCACATTGACTCTGATTTGTGGTGGAAATCAGAGTCATCACTACAAAAACGACGAAGTCTTAGAAACTGAGAAAAAGGAATGGAATTCTTAACGTGAGATGGATGCGAAAACGAATACAACAAGTAATTATGCGAGTCCGGAAGTTTTGTAATATACACTGGTGCATAAACCGTAATATCAAGTTTTCCACTATGTTCGTTGGTCATTACTGATAGATCAGCCTTTTTCTTTAGCTCAGAATTTACATAATTTTGATTAACAGCTAATGAAGACTGAGCCGGTTGACCGCTCAAGCCATTGATCTGTCTTTGGCCTCCATGAATACTAGTGAAATTTAATGCTCCTTGAATATTTCTTCCTGTCGTTTTGTCAAGATAATTAGATCAATGCTTTCAATGTCATATTTTTTAGCCAATTCAGTGTATACATACGTTTTATTGACAGCATCTTTGACGTTTGAAGGATCGGCAACATTGATTATTTTATTGACTTGCATGGCATGCTCACCAGTCATTGATTGACTCCCATCACTCCCATGGAGAAGCGTGACAGTATTTGAATCAGGTTTTTTTGCTATCTCAGTATTGAAGGTTGTGATATCAAGTTTTCCACTACGTTCGTTGGTCATTACTTTTTTGGCTATCTCAGTGTTGAATGTTGTGGTGTCTAATTTGGCACTCAATCCGTTTGCGATGGTCGAAACATCAGCTTTTTTATTTAGTTCAGAATTGAGTTTATTGAGATTTACAGCACCAGTACCAGAAAGAGGATATCAGAAAGACCTTTTATTTGTCTTGATGATGGGCTGACACTAATAAAGTTGATATTGCCTGAAACATTTCCACCGGTGTTTTTTGAAAAGTTTAATGTCAGATATTGTAAATTGACCACATCTTTGTTGTTTGAAGGATTAGCAACATTTATTATTTTATTGTCTTTCGTATCAAGGGTACCTGTTTTAGGTTGCGTTTTGTCAGCATAAGATTTTGTACAAGTATCTTGATAATTAGTTGGATGTTTCAAATTTTTAAGCTGTTTGTTTTCCATGTCGTAGTGACCAGAATCGGTTAATTTGAATCTTTTTCTTTCTAAAGATTTGTACATTGTACAGGTGGAAGAATAATAGGACACGTAGTCCCCTACTAGGTTCAACCACATAAACCCAACCCACCCATCCCACCCTGGCGAAGGAAATCAATCTCACAGTAATCTTGTGCGTGGGAAATTAACGTCTCCTACCGGAGGGTAGGAGACGGGACTTCCATTTATTTGTCCCTATCCGAGAAGACTAGAATATCTAACCATTTCTTGATGTTAGAGAAAGGAAGCATATTCTTCTCAATTATTTTAAGACCTTGAGTGTTGGTCCGGCCGAGGCTCGAACCCTCGACCTCCCGCACATGATTCATGATTTAATAATCTGTTAGAATAACTCAATTATATATATTATGTGGATTATATCTTCTCATTGACGTTCTTTGAACTGAATTTTCTTGTCTTGTCAATATATACGAACTGAATAAGGATCTTGTGTTACTTTTTGATATTCATCTTTTGAAATTCCAGTTTCTCTGCATATCATATTCTGTTCATTAGTGCTTGGGAAATCATAAATACAAAAATGGCAGCAGTTCAGTCTTATATCCTTTGGTGTTTTATAATAACTCTGGCTTAATTAAATAATTGAGCAGTTTTTGTGTCTTTCTCTTATGAAATATTCAATCGATGGTTTTTGTTTTTATTTCAACAATGTAATCATCAAATATAACAATTTTCTGTGATTCATCATCCATTTCATGGACAGGAATAATTTCACCATCGCTTGCTTCAAGAATGGAATACCTACCTCTGGTGAAATCGGCTCAAATGTTTTCATCATATGCTGATATTTTGGTTGTTCAAGGTTTTTGGCATACAGAAAGATTTTATCGAAATACAAAAGTCAATAGATCATATCAAGTAGTAATTTGAAATTAGTTTTACCAGAACCACTTGGTCCACA